AGATAGACAACTCAGTTAGACCATGTATCAAGATGATGCCGTCTCTTTAACTCGATGCTTTTGTGTCGCAACTACTTACTGGATGCCTACGGCCATAGGCTGACCGCCGTAGGGAATCCAGACGGGTGATCCGCTCATTCCAATCTCCGTCGTTGCGTGGTACTCAAGGTGGTCGCTAACTTCTGCCAAAGGACCGGAGCTCTCGACAAAGTCATTGCCAGCCGTTTCTCCGTAGCCATACACTCGCACCTCTTTGGGTTTCTGCAAGGTGCCCTTGGAGCCGAGCTCGAGGCTGAGTCCCAGGCCCGGCCTCTTTTTTTCCCTCGTCTTATCTTTGGCAAGCAGTATGACGCCGTAATCATGGACCGCCCTTTCATCAGACTTGGGCCAAGTCCCTAGGATGTCCACATATTGAGGACAAATCTCAACCTTGGTCGGGAATTCCGCATCGTTGTCTCCATAAATCACCATCAGCTCCGTAGCACGAACATTGTTTCCATCGATGAGGTTATGGGCAGCCGTCAGGATGACATCGTACTTGGGAGAAGGGAGGTTGACGAAGAATCCGGTGCCGTGTCTCCTATTTTCTGCCAACATAACATATTAGCCACTGTTTCAGAGGAAAGGGCTCTAGAGAATGATGTGCTGCGCTTTAGTCGAGGGACTCCTTACCGCCAAACCTGAATTGGAGCCTAACGATGGCGTTTCTGAGATCAAAACGGCTTCTGTCAAGAACGTTTAGGATCTCGGGCTGGTGATTCTGGGCGCGGCTTCGGTGACCGTCCTCAGCCTTCAGCATTTGCTTATACTCCATGATGGTGTCCGAGGCGAAGTCGAATTCCAGACGATAGAACATTTTTTCCGATTTTCCACGGCCGGCAAGAGGATTGAAAGGATTTAATACCGAAAGAAAACAAGACATCGTGTTTCGCAAATCGACTTTTGCAACCGCCATCGGAGGGCCATTGGATGCCCGCGCAGCCACTGGCTGATGCATCGCTGCCCAACACTCAACTCATGACAAGCAATCCAACAAATAGATTCACGGGACTGTATATCGATTAGCATCATCTGATGACCCTCGCCATAGAGATTTCTCACTCATGTC